AATTAATATTCAGTAAAAGTTCAATTTAAATTTAAAACTATGTAACAATATTGAAAAAAAATTGTTTAAATTTTATTTTATCTGGAATTGAACCACGGACAATCTGAAATCTTTGCCTCACTAAACTTAAATCAAATTTAAAGATTAATTAATCATTTTAAATATTACATCTTATAACGTACATCTAAATATATAAGCGCGGACGCAAATTCATAAGTACATTGATTACAAATCTTACATACATATCCTTAAGTAACAATTTTGTCTGAATGACCATGTTTATATATATATTAAATTTAATATAAAACTGATAGTTAGGTTACTCTTTGCTTTTGCTGTGACATACAAATTACAGCCAAGTTACAGCTATTTTGGCTTTATTTTAATTTCTATCCATGCGCATGCGCGGTACACGGTACACGTGCACGCTTGATGTACATAGTTTTCACAGCGACTTTACAGCTATTAATACAGCTAAAATAGCTATAACTGAAGTTTGGCTTTCGTTATAGTTTTCACAGTGACTTTAGAGCTATTAATACAGCTAAAATAGCTGTAGCTAAATTTTGATTTTCGTTATAGTTTTCACAGCGACTTTACAGCTATTAATACAGCTAAAATAGCTGTATTATCCAGCTGTAGCTGGATTTTGATATTTTTATTAGCTATTAAAATGTTCTTGCAATTAAAAATCCAGCAAAATAACTTTTCTTGCCAAATAGCTGTATTTAATGCTGATAGGATGTTATACTAGCCACATTTTTGCTGTCAAAGCCAATCCAGCTAGACTGTGCTACTTGGGACGTTTCGACCTAGGTTAAGTCATTTTCAGTGTAATTATAATAAAAGAATCATCAAAAAGTCAATTTAAAAAATTATCAATTACAAAGAACAGTTGAAAGTATAATTAAATTAATTGTTGCTCATATTTTTACATTTAAAAACAGGTCGATATAAAAAAGCTATGCGAAATTATCCTCAAATTTGACACATTGAAATCCAGTTCGAAAACGGTATCAAATGAAAGATCTCATCAATCTGGAGCCAACAAAAAATTCTAGTTTGGAGCGACTCATTGTTTCAGAGAAAACAGCTCCTCAAAAAAGTCACAAAATCGATTGACGCTATTTTTATTTATATGACTTTTGGGACTATGATCGCGCTCTAACTTGCTCCAAAAATTGATTTTAGCCAAATATATTTAAATTGGGATCGCCAAAGGTTTCAGACCTTTTTAACCTTTTTAACCAGGTTTTAACTACAACCGATCAAGAGACTCGGCATCAGAGCTAAAAGTGAACAATCAATTGGTTCATTGAATCCAATATGAACATTATTCACGTTGAGAGTCTCGAGTCGAAGAAATAATAACAGACATTACAAGAATACTTTTGGAAAACTAATTAAGAAGATATAGATTTTATTATTCGATATAGATGTATTCGATTGATTGTTCATTTTTTGCCTGATGTCAGGTCTGTTGAGCGGTTCTAATTAAGTCTAAAACCTTTGACAACCTCAAATTAAACCCCAATTTAAACATATTTTGCTAAAATAAATTTTTGGAGTAAGTTAGAGCATGATAGTCCGAAACCATATAAACAAAAATAACGTCTGTCGATTTTGAGACTTTTTTGAGGAACTGTTTTCTCTGAAAAAATGAGTCACTCCGAATTAGAATTTTTTTTGTTGGCTTCAGATTGATAAAACTTTTAATTTAATACCTCTTTTGAACCGGATTTCGATATATTAAATTTGAAGATAATGATCTATTGTTTCGTGACAATAGTCTCTCTTAAAAGTAATTACGTCCTCAAACTTCGTTATAAAAATGATAATGCATGCTCCAGAATGTAATCAATTAAAATGTGATCCAAAGTAACGTACAGTCTATGCTTGTCTTTCATTGGTATATGAGATAAAGTTGGAAGAATTCCAAATTGTCAAAAGTAACTGTAATTAAATGAGCAAAATGTAATAAAGAAAAAAAACAAAAAGAACAAAGTTTTAAAATTATAATGACGTTTATATATGTAGGATCGATGTTTTATATGAAAAGTGATTCAAAAGAATAAATACAGGAATATTGATAATTATTGCACACACTCTCTGCTAGTGCGCGTAATCTCGTTGTCCGTTATTCTCCCATTGTTCTTCTTTTTACCTGCTAGCTAGCGCCCCCTCTCGCCTCTTCTCTCTTCGCTCTGGCGTCATCTCGCGCTCCCACATATATACCTGTATTGTGCCGCTCTAGGCGCAGGAGATTCGTACTCAGCGGAAAAACCACAAAATGCTAACCAGTAATGTAGTTAAAGAATAAACTTTTATTCTAACTTTAATTACAGATTTACTTTTTTGACAATACGACGGCACTTACCTTCGGACTGATTGACTGATCAACGATGCCTTTCTTCCTTTCGTTTTTATCCTTGTCACGTCAGCGTTCCAGATTTTGTAATTAGGTTGCTGCGATTGTACTCTCGCAACCAAATCGTATCAAAATATTTTTGCTTAATGGCTATTATAATTAATCAATAAATATTGTATTAAGTTTTAGGGTCATTTTTTTATATTTGTCGTATTTCCCGTAAGCGAGTTGAAAATATAACTTTTTAAAAACAAATATTTTTCTTGTTTCTCTACGTTGAGCATTATATTTGATAAAAGGTAATATTTTCAAAAATTTTTTAAAATATTGTCGCGTCCGACGCATATGCGAACATTTCCATTTCCTTCTTTTTGTTTTCATTTTCTTGGTATACTTATAATATACTACGCTATATATTGATTTAATTATTCACCGCAAATTCTCTTATTTGTTTGATGATTGAGAGCGTTCAATTAAATTCTTATTTCTGTTTCTTTATTTCTTTTCATTTTTCTTTCTCTTTTTTTTCATGAGAGTCAAATGATGATTAGGTGCATCGAAATCTTTTACGAGTCCCGCATGCACCATTCTGATATCCCCAATAATTTAATTTAAAAACTCAAAAAATCTAAGCTGTCATTTGAATATAAAGTATAGTATATTGTTAAAAAGCCACGTAAAGCCTCACGTGACGCGTGCGGAAGGCAATTATGCGCGCGCAGCGCGATTTGCGCACGACAAAAATTTCACGAAAACCGCGAGTACGCGGAAAAGGAAGCGAAAAACACGTGTAAAAACCAACGATCTTGCTGCACTTATTACTCCGAAACCGTTTTAGTTTGCAAATAGGCAATTACAAAATATGAATGTATATAAAATATTCTAGTATTGTATCAAATTTCGTGCCGATCTGATCGGTAATTAAGAAGTTAAATAACAGCCGGATTGATGATTTATGGCTCTATTTTCCGGGAAATTAAGCCCCCCTTTACGCTCCAACCATCAAACTGCGCGTATATAAACAAGCCAACTTTGGTACGTGTTCAGTCTCTTTTGATCTACACCATAGATCAGACACTGCGGCACCATAGCGTAAAGGTAACAAGCGGTAAGTATAAATAAAACCTAATTAATGGCTCAATTAGTATTCTCTTCCCCCCTCCCCCGCATGCTATAACTCATGCTATCTCCGGCGCTCCACCTTTCTTCCCCTTAACCCCCTCCTCATGTCGCGCTGGTCAACCAGCGTTCTTTCAACTCTCTCATTTTCCTTCCCTCAATCCTTTCCTACATCGCGCTGGCCCACCAGTGTTCCATCTTACATTCTATAACACACTCTGCCACTTGCTATAATTCGCGCTACCTCCGGCGTTTCACTTTTCATCCCCTTAACCCTCCTCCCTCCCTCATGTCGCGCTGGTCAACCAGCATTCCGTCAACTCTCTATCATTTTCATTTCCTTAAGGCGATGCTGGAATATCGACATTTGCATTCTAAGTAATAACTCCGAAACGACTGAACGGATTTGAAAACGCTTTTACAGGATTGAAATAGAGATAAAATGTAAACGCGCGAATTATATATTTGTAGTAAAAACGAAAAAATATTCAAAAATTACCTTTTTTGGGGTATCATAACCTCTCACCTGACGTAAACATTTCATTGGTATAAAAGTTCTGTAACTCATATGTACAAAAAAAGTAATTCGCGCGCATCGGACTACTTGCACGAATAATACAAAACCTTTTGACCTACGATTGGAAGCGTAGTAAAACAATTATCACTTAGAATGCAATTTGTAGTAATTCGTACGCTCGGCTGAGGTAAAGACAGCAAAAATTACGTTTGGCAGTAGTGCCGGATTTTCCAAGAGATGGCACTTCAATAAGTTAGATAAGGACATTCCACGTGTTTGAGTGAAACAGAAGATATTGTAAGGAGTTCATTTAGAAATACCACTGACATTGAAGAGTCTGCTTTATCGACCTCGTACAAATTTTTCCGACCTTCCAGCATCGCCTTAAACTCTTCTTTACATCTCTCTACGCCGCGCGCGCACACACACACACACACACACACACACACACACACACACACACACACACACACACACACACGCACGCACGCGCGCGCGCGCGCGCACTTATATATATATCAAGCGACGCGATAGCGGCGCGACGCCAAATACATACAGGGTGTCCCGTAATGACCGGACTAACGCTTAAGGGTAGATTCTTGAGATTATTTTAAGACAAAAGTTCCAATACCAAAATGTTGAGACTATAATAGTTTTTGAATTATAAGTGTTTAAAGTTAACTAATCAGATCGTCTAAAGTTGGCGCGCTCAGGTATGGCACGCGCAACTCCTAAAAACAAAAGCTGACTTATCGCCCCTTTTATTAATATTGATATAAGGATTACATATGTGAATATAAGATTATTTTTATTGATATTTCTGCAAACACATTGCGCGATAACATTGTTACAATAATATTTTC